AATAATAGAGGCATATTTCCAAAGGCCACATTAATTTGAAACCCCCATGTCTTTTCATATTGTTCAAAGATTTTCCATTGTTTTTTAATAACTATTACTAATTGTTTTAACTTCGAACATTGAATATAAACTATTACACGTGACTTTAGATTCTATATTTCTCTTTGCAGTTCTTGATTTCTTAAAAGGCTTCTTGCCATACGTGTTCATGAAATGTTGCTAATGTTTTCTATTCATGTTTTTTTTGGTAGATTTTGTATAATCAAAATTAAAATGTTTTCGAAGGCAATTTTGATTAATCGTTCAAAGAAGCATAGTTTATGAAGATCAACCATAAATAGGTAATGTAAAACGTTTTTTCATTTACCTCAATCATATTATTTATACATTCATCTTGGTTTCTTAACAGGTTTCTTGCTCTAAGTGTTTATTGTAACACCCTGTTCCGAATCGCTTTCCTAATTCGGGATTGTGGCCTGAAGATAGGTTATCATAAGGCTTAGGGCCTTTGGAAAAGAGGGATCTAGACCCATTTAGGTACGGACAATGTAATTGAGGTGATACAGGAGTTTGGGTTATGCCTTGGAGCCAAGGGGTATATCGGTAAAGTGGCAGTTCGAGCTCTTTATGAATTTTGGATTTTTGTTCGGAAGGTTTTGAGGTGAGGATAAGTTGATAGATGTGTAGAGATTCTTGCCACCTTTCCGTGGATATAAAGAATGTCAAAAAGCGAAGGTGTAACGAAGAAGTTATGGTCGTTTGAAGTTGGAGTAGTTCGGGTGAGTGATCGTTGACTTGTTGACCAAGCTCATTTAAGTCTCACGACATGAGGATCGTCTGATGCACGAAAACCCTAATTTTTGGGTATTTAAAGGTATGAGATGATTAGGGTTGTTTCTCCGCAACCTCTTTCACTCCCAAGACCTCTGGAGACCCTAATCTCAGCCCCCATTGAAGTTCTTAGTCATTCTTGGTGTTATTCAAGAGATTTTAGAGGCTTTGAAGCCCTTTGAGGAAGAAGAAGATCATTGGTGGTGCATTTTTTTTTATCTTTTTGGTTGCTTCATCAGCTAGTTGTGGAGCTTTTGGACCTTTGTAAGTCCTCAAGCTCATGCCTTTCCTTTCCTTGCTTACTATATCTAAATTTTCATGCATTTCATGGCTTGTAATGTTGGTTAGCATGCATGGGATCCATAAAGTTGGCAACTTTATGGATCATGGTGGTATCTTAAGTCCTATATGTTCTAGATCTGAACTTTGGTCATGGTTTTGGACTCCAAGTTTGAGTCTTGGCCCTTTTTCCTTCATTTTAATCTAAGTTGATGTTTAAGTCATGTATTGGACATA